ATCTACTACGAGGAAGTTTAATTGCATCTGAGCGTAAAGGGGACAAAGTATCATCTCCTATTCCTTGGAGGGAACAAAGTATCATCTCTTATTGCATTTGGCTGTAGCTCATCAATGTCATGGATGCTGAGATCCCTGGCTCCTGCTCTGACCCTGATGGAGGCCCAGGAGATCCAAAAGGGCTACTGTGGGGGATTCTGCCATTGCAGTGGCCATTGGGAACAGTGGAGCCATCTACTGTCATCGCTGCAAGGATGACCACTACCTGCTGCTGCTGTACTCCGATCTGTTCAAGTCCGACTCCAATTCGAAGTACAAAACCCAAAGGAGAACTGCACTTCTTGACACAGATTTAACTGAGGTAGGAGATCTGCTGTGGTTCCTGGAAGGGCAGGGAGAGGGAGCTCTAGACAGCATCATCACCAGCTTCCCTTTTGATTGCCTTGGTGGCCTCAGAAGAGGTTAAGGCACCGATGCAGAGTACTGCCTGCATGGCAAAAATAGTGCCAAAAAGCACATCAAGTTCTACACCACATGAAACACATCCCGTATGGAAGGCTAGGGTTGGCACTTTAAAGGCACTGATGAACAAGACTGTCTGGACTGGGCAGGAGTCAACATGGTCCCAGTGGCGGTTTTGGCAACATGGCCCTACTGTGGTGCTGGCACCAACCAATCCATGGGCATCAAAGCTGGAGATCAGCCTCTGTCCCTCTTTTTCTTCTAGCCTGGAGATTGGGAACAATACTGAGTGCCAACATGGCCCTGAGTGGAGGCATGTTGGTGCTGGTCCCTGCTAAAGTTCTTCTTGGCACCATCTCTTTCAACATTGGCACCAGAATCTCTGGGCAAAGGAAGAGGCACTAGGCACCATGTCCACAGTGCCTGGGCTGACTGCAGTCACAGAGCTACTTCCATAAATAAAATTCAAAGAGGTTGCTCCTTCTCTCTTAGGGTATGTCTACACTAGCTCCCTAGTTCGAACTAGGGAGGCTAATGAGGGTGACCAAAATTGTAAATGAAGCATGGGATTTAAATATCCTGCACTTCATTAGCATGTTCCCAGGCGGTCGCCATTTTGGAAATTGACTAGCCTGGATGGAAGAACTGCCCGCATCTACACGCGGCACAGAAGGGTGATTCCGAAATAAACCGTTTACTTCGAATTACCAGTTAAACCTCATGGCACACGGGCAGTTCTTCCGGGCTAGTCAATTTCCAAAATGGCAACCGCCTGGGAACATGCTAATGAAGCGCGGGATATTTAAATCCTATGCTTCATTGCAATTTCAGTTGCCCTCATTAGCCTCCCTAGTTTGAGCTAGGGGGCTAGTGTAGACAAACCCTTACAGTTCTGGGTCAGAACCCTTTACACATCTTGCAGTTCTTTTAGTGATCCTCACACAGGCAATTTAAGCCGGAGGAGTGAGGATAATTTTTTGGCATGTTCTTGGTGCACTACTGACAAGCCTTAAAACCCAGGGAAGGAAGCATGCATTAGGAATGGCTTTTGATGAAAGGGGGCGTAATGAACTTATCCTAACACCAACACTAAGAACTACTATAACTATGAACTAACTAATAAGAAATAATGCTTATCTGCTTGCAAGGCAAGGAATGAGCAAGGGGAAGTTCCAGCTACTATCACTTGTGGTAAGAAGGACTGAGGAGATGGTGAGTTGGTAGGCCCTTATGTTGGGTGCTATATTAGCGCTACTCCAAAGAGATGCCCAGGCTAACCCTATCACTAGCAACCAGGGGAAAAATCTTCTGGCTTCTGTGCTCATGCGCACGCACGCACGCACACACACACCTGATTGGAATACACATGAACAAGCATTTGAACAACTCATCTTTATGCACCACATGTAGTTTTTCCAGTGCCTAATGGATTCAAAGGATGCGGTGCTTTTTTCTTTTTTTTGTTAGAACAATAAAAAAATTCTTAGTAGGAAAGTTATATGATTTTGCGCACACATGCATGCGTATATGAGTGCATGTGTGAAAATCTAGTGACCACACAAGACAATGGAGTTCTCTCTGCTCCATCTGAGCACCTAAGAAGCACACAACAAAAAGTGCCATCAAAGACAAGCCATTACTACCCCCGGAAACCTGAAGTCATCTCCTGAATGAGGTGCAAGCAATCTTCAATTTTTATTCAAGCAGAGTGCGGAAAGTTATGACAGCTTCAACTAAGGGTACGTCTACAGTACACATTTCTTTCAAAAGAGAACGTCTAGACAGCAACAACGTTTTTCGAAAAAGTGACAAGCTTTTTCGAAAGAGCGCACCCAGACAATCTGGATGCTCTCTTTCGAAAAAGCCTTGTTTGCGGTCAAGAAAGCCTTTTTTCAAAAGAGCGCTCAAAGCCTTGTTTGCGGTCAAGAAAGCCTCTTTTCAAAAGAGCGCTCTCAAAAAAAGGCATTCTTCCTCGTAAAATGAGGTTTACTACTGCTGTTGAAAAAAACACCGTGTTCTTTCGGTTTAATTTCAAAGAATGCAGCAGCAGTCTAGACACAGGTGAAGTTTTTAAAAAGGCCACTTTAAAAAAAAAACACCTGTAGTCTAGACATAGCCTAAGAGGTAAATCTGGAGAAAAAAGAAACTGATAGGGGTAGTTACTGGATGGCATTTTGGAGTAGGAGAGACTTCCCCCACCCTTCTTACTTCCCGTGGATTTCCTCCATTTCCAGAAGCAGTAGCTATTTTCCTCTCAGTCCCTTTAAATAACATTTTAAAACTTTGATTCCAGCTTCAGTTCTCTCCTGCCTTTTAAAAGAAATAAAAGCTGTTGAACAAAGGGCGCCATTTATGCAGGACTAGGTGGGCAGTAGCCTCCTCCCGAGTTTAAACCCTCTGGATTTCATACTTAAAGCTGCAACAGAAGGACTTCTTAAATGCAACAGAGTTTGAGCTGCTTGCAGTTTTGGATTGGGACAGCGAGTTTGTTATAAAAAGCGGGAGGCAGGCAATTAATAACAGAAGACTGTTCATTCAAGTAATTAAAGATCCTTAAATCACCATGAAAACATTGTCAGGTATTTAAAAGATGGCGGGGGGAGACGGAGTAGCAATGAGTGTTGTGCTGCTGGGATTTAAATTTGGAGCAGTACTGATACACTTTAGATGTTCTTGAAAAAGGGGTAAATAGTGAGGTGGCAAAATTTGCAGATACTACAAAATTACTCTAAATAGTTATGTCCAAAGCTGACTGCAAAGAGTTACAAAAGGATCTTACAAAACTGGGTGACTAGGCAACACAAGGGCAGCTGGAATTCAGTATTGATAAATGCAAAGTAATGCACAGTGGGGGTGGGAAGGCTACCCTCTCATAGACTGCCACCCCGCATGGGCTGGAAGCCAACAGCCCCTTCTCCTACAGCTGCTTCTGCCCAGCGTGAGCCTGCAGATGGCTGGGAGCTAGCAGCCCTTCCTCTGCTGTTGCTTCCCCTCTCTCTTCAGCACGTAGCTGCTGACTCCTAGCCCATGCTGTCTGTAAACAAGCTGCTTGGTAGAGCTTGAGCTGCCCCATCCATGGTGCGGGGGCCACTCCAGCCCAGCCGTGATGGACAGGGGTGGGACACTCCAGCCCAGCAGACTGAAACGTCTCTCCCACCCTGTTTAATCAGTTAAATGGTTAAACTTAACATTTAATCAGTTAACTAATTAAATGGGATTTTATATCTCTAAACCAAAAATAAACCCACAATTTCTGAGAATCGTGAGTTGGTTGCACCAGATGCACATATGCACGAATGGGCTGAAGCAAGAGATCTGAAATCTATTTTTTCTCACTGATGCTTGGCAGGCTGGTTCTTGCTCACCTGTTCAGAGTCTAACAGATCACTATTTGTAGGGATAGCAAGGAATTTTCTTCCTGATTAGATTAGCAGTGGGATTTTTTTTGCCTTCCCCTGCAGCATGTGGAAGCCAGGTCACCTGCTAAAATTACAGTATCTGGGTATTTCTCACTTAATCAATTCCCTGCCATTGTGGGGGCAACAAACACTGGTGCATCTCAGGTCTTCCTGTTCTCTGCTTGTGGCACTTCCTATTCTCTAGTTTCCTGTGGTGTCTAGTACTTTGGTATCATTTTGGCTGATGTGTTTAGTGCTGGGTAGTGGTGACCTGTGACAGAAGAGGTCAGACTAGATGATTTGGTGGTCCCTTCTGACCTTAAATTCTATGAATCTATTCCAGAGACTGTTGTATGATCATAGACAAGTCATTGAACCGCACTGCTTCATTTTCCCTTTTAAGAACTGAAAATAATATTAACTTTTTGTCATAAAGCACTTGAAATCTATGTTTGAAACACTCCATATGTATAATAGTGATAGAAATGTAGCCGTCTTAGTCTGGTGTAGCTGAAACAAAATACAGGACTATGTAGCACTTTAAAGACTAACAAAATGGTTTATTAGATGATGAGCTTTCGTGGGCCAGACCCACTTCCTCAGATCAAATAGTGGAAGAAAATAGTCACAACCATATATACCAAAGGATACAATTTTAAAAAAATGAACACATATGAAAAGGACAAATCACATTTCAGAACAGGAGGGGGAT